AGGAAGTGGAGATGCAACATGGGGGGTGAAGGGGGTAGGAGAAGAATGAATGAAACAAGATGGGATTGGGAGGGAGACAAACCATAAGTGACTCTTAATCTCACAAAACAAACTGAGGGTTGCTGGGGGGAGGGTTTTGGGAGGGGGGGTGGGGTTATGGACATTGGGGAGGGTATGTGCTATGGTGAGTGCTGTGAAGTGTGTAAACCTGGCAATACACAGACCTGTACCCCTGGGGATAAAAATACATTATATGTTTATAAAAAATTAAACATTAAAAAAAGACAACGGACAGAATGGGAGAAGATAATTGCAAATGACATATCAGATAAAGGGCTAGTACCCAAAATCTATAAAGAACTTATCAAACTCAACACCCAAAGAACAAATAATCCAATCACGAGATGGGCAGAAGACATGAACAGACATCCAAATGGCTAACAGACACATGAAAAAGTGCTCAACATCACTTGGTAGCCGGAAATACAAATCAAAACCACACTGAGATACCACCTCACACCAGTCAGAACGGCTAAAATTAACAAGTCAGGAAATGACAGTTGTTGTTGGAGATACGGAGAAAGTGTAAACCCTCTTACGCTTTTGGTAGGAATTCAATCTGGCACAGCCACTCTGGAAAATAGTATGGAGGTTTCTCAAAAAGTTGAAAGTAGAGCTACCCTATGACCCAGAAGTTGTACTGCTAGGGATTTACCCCAAAGATACAAATCTAGTGATCTGAAGGGGCACCTGCATGCCAGTGTTTATAGCAGCAATGTCCACAATAGCCAAACTATGGGAAGAGCCCAGATGTCCATTGCCAGATGAAGAGATAAAGAAGATGTGGTATATACACACAATAGGCTACTGCTCAGCCTTCACAAAAATGAAGTCTTGCCATTTGCAATGATGTAGATGGAAATACAGGGTATTATGCTAAGCAAAGTAAGTCAATCAGAGAAAGAAAATTATACAGTCTCACTGATATGTGGAATTTAAGAAACAAAACAGGATCATAGGGGAAGGGAGGGAAAAATAAGACAAAATTAGGGGGACAAGCCATAGAGACTCTTAATCATACAAAAAAAACTGAGGGTTGCTGGAGGGGAGGAGGATGGGGGATGGGGTGACTGGGTGATGGACAGTAAGGAGGACACATGATATAATGAGCACTGAGTTATTATGTAAGACTGATGAATCACTGAACTCTACCTCTGAAACTAATAATACACTATATGTTAAACAATTGAATTTAATACATTTAAAAAATGCTCCACTCTTGAACCATGCTGATCTCTGGGTAAACATCTCCTGAGTCCCAGCAACCAGTCCCGGGCCTGGGGTACCTTATGTGGTTCCTTTCCGCTCCCTCTGTCCAAAACCCAACCATGCTCCAGACCCCCAGCTCTGGGTCCACCAGCATGCAGCCTTGCCTGATTTCACCAGCTCTACAAGCTCTGCCAGCTCTTCCTTTTCCCTTGCCTGTTGAGTTGCTCTGCCCTCTGCCTGAAACTGTCTTTCTGGGGCTCTCTGCCTGCCTAGCTTTTCCCCATCCTCTGGTTCTCAGTGTCTGCTCCTTGGACAGACCATCCCTGCTCATCCATCTCATCTAAAGACCTCCCACCATTTAATCTGCTTCTGTCCCTCATGGCCCTTAACATAATCTGTAATGTCTGTTGTTTTCTTGTTTTTGATTTCTCTTCTCAATTAGACAATAGGCCCCATGAGAAAATTTTCTGCTTTGTTCTCTGAAATATCCATACACCTAATTCACACACAGTTTATTTAGCAAGTGTATGTATTAATATTTTAAATCCTTTTTTCAAATTTTAGAATGTTTCTTGTTTTCAAATACCACATAAAAAAATAACATGCCTTTCTTGATTAAGAGATCCAGAGAGAGTAATTCCAAGTTAAAGGTGTTTTTTCTCTATTTCAATAGTTTCTTTTAGTTGCTGAGAGAATAATCTGATGAGGATTATCCAATCTGTTCCTCTGATAACTTTGGCCTCATAAGAATTCTTGCTTTATTTTCCATTAACTCCATAAATTACAAATTCTTTTGTAAAAAGAATAATAATTTCAGGGATTATTTTCTTTTGTCACACTTCTTGAATCCTTAAATATCAGATTTCACTCTCAAGGTTTTCTTACAGAGCCAAACACAAAACACAGTGGAGTGATCAGAACTTCTATGGTGTTCTTAGAAATTACTGTGCTCCAAATTTCTTAAATATCTGTGAATATGTAATAGTGAATCTTTCATAAATTCTCTTTTGGATAATATTTCTAAATCCATATGTTTATTTTTCTAAATTCTAAATTCATCCTCCCTTTACTTTTTACTATTTCTTTTAAGATGCAGAGTACTTTATTAATATTATTTTATGGATAAATGTTTACAAAGAAATGACTCACCTTAACTCTAAAGGGATTGCCCATAACTCTTTTTTTTTTAAGATTTTATTTATTTATCTTGAGAGAGAGAGAGAGAGAGAGAGCCAGAACATGAGCTGGGAGGAGGGTCAGAGGGAGAGGGAGAGAGAATATCCAGCAGACTCCTTGCTGAGCACAGAGCCCCACACGGGCTCAATCTCATGACCCTGAGAACATGACCTGAGTCGAAACCAAGAGTCAGATGCTTAACTGATTGAGCCACTCAGGCACCCTCAGTGATCTCCATAACTCCTAGCACACTTCATGTCTGCCCAGCTAGTACCTTACACTTGATTCTGCTTGACCCTGCTCTTTGTCCCTCCTTATCAACCTCATCTCTCTGGTTAGAACAAGTGATATTTGAAGGTGCTTGATGACAATGATAATGCCATATTGCTGGGAACTCCACCTTATCTCGCATGGTAGTTAAGTGCTAAATTAGAAATACACTTGTCTTAACCTCCATGTTCTAGTGTTCATGTGTCAAAAGATATAAGAGAAGCTGTTCATGGGATTAAAAAATATATGGTGTTATAAAAATAATTAAAACATATATATATAATGTTGGGCTCAAAGGGGAAGTCTGACCTCAAGTTTAGACAAGATCTTTGCAACACACAGCTTGATGGGGTAGTAGCAGTAAATCATGATTTCGTCATCTCTGAGAAGTAGGAGTAGTCACGGAAGCAAGTGAAAAGTTCAGTCTTAGACAACGGGCATCTTATGACCGGACTTTTTCTGAGAAGGTAAATGCATTTACCCCATGCTTTTAATCTAGATGAAATAATTATTCATGCAAGGGAAATGTCATCTAATTTCCAGTGGTTTCTATCTCTTTTTTTTTCTCTTTAACTTTATTTGGTGGGGAAAGGGTTGTATTTGAGTGGCTGCACGTAGCTAGTGGATTTTGTGGCAATTGCTAAGAGTCTCCCAGTACTGGACAAAATGTGCAAAAGTATATATAGTGCTGTTTCTATTTTAATTTATGCTCTGTCAAATGTTTGGGGCATTGTTTTCAAATGGAAATGTGTTTCCTGCATTTCTTGGTCTGGATCTGTAAGTATTTATTTTCCTGCTGCTCTGTGTGATGGTTTTGTCTTTCAATATGGGGTGGCCCCCAAAATTTTAAAGGTGGCTGTGGTAGCATTTCTTTGGGATGGTTGTAAACTCAGAGCCACTTATTTGAAGGTTAAGACTTTACAGAAACCTACAATCCTCTTATCTCCTATGTCCCCAGTGGTGAAGTTTAATATAAATTCATAGCATAAGATCATGCTCTTTTTAGGGCCAACACATATTTCAATATTTAAAAAAATAGTCTCTATTTTATGGTGCTCTACAAAGAGCACTGTTGACTTTTAAATTAGAAAAGGAGCAAAAATGCTAGAAAAATTGTTACCACTGATGATTCTGCTGTAGATGATGGGCTTCCTAGTCTTGTGTCTCAGAATTCTCACCAGATTTCCCTGTCAGCACTTTACCTTACATTATGTTATTTGGTCAAGTCTAATGTACTTATTATTATTGCTGTTGTAAGTGGTACATGGTGATTAGTTCTCCTTCTCCCGACCCTCCCCATGTCCAAGGACTTGGAAATTGATTCACTTTTGAAAGCTGAGTAAATAAACACAAATAATAGATGACATTTATTATCTAAATAAATTACCTTAAAATACAGCAGGTATAGACAGAGCCAAAAATTCTTATCATGGGTGTGCCTAAATATGAAGTCAAACTGTGGTTTCCTAAATTGTCTTTGTTTTTTTACTTAAATAAAAGTGGAGACCATTTTTATCAGCAAAGAAACTGGTTAAGTGAGCTATAGTACATAGCTATAACTGAAACACTTATGGTCACTAAAAATGCTTATAGAAAGTTTTGAATGGCATGGGAGGGATGTTTATGACAAAGAAAAAACTTAAAAACAACAACAGAAAAGGAGATATGAAGTCTCAACTAGCTTTTAGGAAATGCATGGAAGATTAACTAAAAAGAAATACTCCAAAATTATTAATATAATAATTGATAGTAGGATTTCAGGTGATTCTACTCTGCTGCTCTTAGGTACTTTACACTTTTTAGTACAAATAAATAAAAGGGAAAATACAGAAAACTTAATGTAAAAAGTAGAACCGTAGCCTAGATAAGGACACTGACACTCTTGAAAAGATAATACTTGAACAGAATAAAAATTCTGAAACAGCCTAGAGGAAGGGCCTTCACGAGAAAGTGGGTCAAAGCTTACCCAGCTGCCAGGGAGGAGTGAAGCAAATACATTAGACCTCTATGACATTCAGTATTAAAATCATCCACTTATCTTCTCCCATACTCAGTTCAATTCAATGTTTGCCAAGCAAAACTGTGGTTTTAAATGGCTCTCCCATGTGTTCTGATAGAATGCACTGGTGACACCAACATGTTCCTTAGGTCATTTCAGTTTATACATCAGTCTCCTGTGAGTTAGTTGGTATGAGTCAGTTCTGGGCCAATCAGTCAATTCTGATTGAATTTTAGCCCTGCTAAAATCAGATTTCTAGACCTTCAAAGCTGAGAACTGTTTGCTGAGGTATAATAACCACACCATGTAAAGTCCATGACCACTGTCCTCACTAGAACACCCACCATGATTAGCCTCTCTCTCATGGATACTGCTCTGGTATTAAAATCGCAGCCTCAGAGTTCACCTCTCTGCTACCTTTCCTTTCTAGCTTTCAAAGAGGAACATTTTTTATTCTCAGGAAGACAGCATGGGAGGATGGAGTTCCAAACCTGAACCCAAAAATGGTAAGTCCAGGGCAGAAACCATTACCTCCCTCACTACTGAGTTAACATGGACTGGATTAACCAGTAACTATACTGAAGAGCTGAATGGGACAACATTTCTAAGGTTGGAAGAATCAAATTTTACCCAATGCCAAGAAAAGTGTCAAGGGGAACCAGGGAGAACAGTCTATCCTCCCAAGTTGAGTAAAGGGTGTCTGTGTGCTCAGTACAAGACCAGCTGGGTAGCTTAGGGCAACGCAGTTCACTTCCCTTACTGGCCCCCTATTTATGGCACTGGCCTTGGGAGAACTCACTGTGGCTGCCTTTGACTAGTCACTGTTAAAAACCACCCTGCAAACAAAGGAACCACTAAAAAAAGGCAGCAGTTTCCAAGGTCAAGTTCCCCAAAACTTTGGGAAATGCTAGTTTTGGGTTTTGCTTTTGGTTCTCTACTCCCTGGCCTTGACATTGTCTGCTTATGTCCGAGGAAGCACATTTCCCTGGGGTCCATTAAATCTTGGAGGGAGGGACAGGAGATGTGTTTATTTGTCAAAGGGGCACACGGGGCTGCAGAAAAATGAGGCTCCTCTTTCATGGGTGTAGCTGTTTGTTTTTTAAGTTTTTAAGTGAAAGCTCTACTTTTGTTAAAGGATCCAGGACATGAAACACCGTTCTCTCCTTTTACAGAGTGGGACTCTCCATTGTGTATGTCCCCTGGTGACTGAGGATAGGGTGGGGCACCTGGAGACTTAATTTAAGCTGGAAAGATTCATGAGATGTGGCAGATGCACTAAGCCCCTTCTCATTCTCTCACAGACAAACCAAGTTTCAGCACAACAGCTCCGACAATTGCCTCCAGACCCTGCTCCCAGGAGCCCACCAAGTAAGCGAGCCATTCTCCCACCCATTTCATCTTGCACTACATGGCATTGGATTTTGTGCTGACAGCCCTGCCTGATGGGACTTAGGAGGGAGGGCTGGGGAAAAGGGACCAGAAACAGTTGAAAAAAATGAATCGGTTTTTTATATTTAGAGTGTGGTTCTTAACCCGGAGTGCCCCAGGGAGGGAGATCCCTCAGGAGATCCATGAATCCCCTCAGCTCATCAACAAACGGTGTGTACAGGCGGGCTTGTGAAGATTTTTGAGGGGGACAAGAGCTCACGATTTGCACTGAGGTTTCAGAGAGTTCTGGAACCCCAAAGCAGAAAGTTGAAAAGCAGTGGGTAAAAGTCACCTAGCCAGCATGAAAGCTATTTTAGGGATCGACCCACAGGCAGGAATGGTGACCCTCTGGCCTTTAGCAGAGGCCTTCAGAAAGCCCAGTGGGTCATCTGCTCCCTTTCTTTGCCAAAACAGCATACAGCATTTGGTCTTGGCCTTTTTTGTGGGGGTCCTGCTAACACTGCTGCTGCTGGTCCTTGTCTTCCTCATCGTGAAGACCTACAGAAAATGTAAGTGGTCTCTGAGAGATGGGACAGCTCTTCTGGCTCTGACATTGAGAATTAAGTCTCGGTGTTAGCTCTGAGGAGGAGTAAAACCTTGGTAGCTCACCCTCTCCACAGACTGGGGAACTGATACCCTTGGCTTCTGTCTCTGCCCTCCCTACCCCTCCACTTTTGCCACCTCCAACACCCACCTCGCCCCCCAGCCTGCAGAGAGGCTTCCCATTCCTCCACGCCCCACTGGTGAGACTTGTTCCTCTCTTTCCTGGCCCCTGTGGCAGGCCACTCCAGTCCCTGGGCCCAGGATCCTCCCTTGGATGGTCACTCCAGCCGTGATCCTCCGGCCAAGGTAAGAGGATCACTCTCTTTTGGGGACCCTGGGCACGTGCATCTTCTGATCTCTTTGATCCTCTATGACCACAGCCTCCAAGTGGCTTCTACAGAGACCATGGCTTTTAATTTTTTATTATTATTTTTTCTAAAAAACTGTTTCCTTTTTTTTTTTAAAGATTTTATTTATTTATTTGACAGACAGAGATCACAAGTAGGCAGAGAGGGGGGGGGGAAGCAAGCTCCCCGCAGAGCAGAGAGCCCATGTGGGGCTCCATCCCAGGACCCTGGGATCATGACCTGAGCTGAAGGCAGAGGCTTTAACCCACTGAGCCACCCAGGCCCCTGAGACCCTGGCTTTTAAAGAGACACTGCCCTCCAAACTGAACTCAGTCGTTCCTCCTCCTTCTTCCTCTGCAGCTTTCATCTCCGGAGGAAGCACTTACCTATGCTAGTGTAGCTTTCAAAACCTTGGAAGAAAAGAGTGAACACCTGACTGAGAAACGTTCTGCACCCTTGGACACGGTTGTCTATGCTCCAGTCAAAGGGACAGACTCCCCCTACCTTTCCAGTGAGGCTTGATGCCGGTCCCTTACACTCGGCTTTATCTTTATTCATCACTTTCCCTTAGGACAAATTCTGGACCACAGCATGGTCTGGTTGGAGCTGTTTGGGTGGGATCTGGAAATGTTAGCTGGCGGTTTTGAAGACCGAGGGGGAGTGCTGCTCTTGTCCTGAGAAGACACTGCCAGCACTCCTGCTTGGACGGACAGCCTCTTAGCCCTTTGAGGGCTGAGACGGCCTCCCTGGTCCTCTTCCAGAGTGAGATGGCAGGTGTGTGTGGGTGTGTGTGTGTGTGTGTGTGTGTGTGCATGTGCACCTGTATTTGTCCGTATCTAGTCTCTGAAAGAAAACACCGTTAACTGGTCTCCATTGACTGCCCCTGGCCAAGGGAGCTTGGTAACTGAGGGACTGAGGGGCAGGGAGGGGAAGGAGGTATTGTCCCTTAAAAGCCCTTTTGTAACTTTTGAAGTCCTCCACTTCCCTTGTTGAGGATCTTCAGGGGACCCGGTACCTGGTGCTCCCATCCCCACCTGGATTCTGAACCAACTGAGAAGTACTGTCTTCATCACACATTTGGCGCTGGAGAACATGGCATGTATGTGGCTGCAGAGAAGGGGACAATCCCCTCCCCTTCCCTCCCACCTCTGAACCAGTGGCTCAGCTGTGCCCGGGAGTCACAGAAGAGGTCATGTGTACTTTGAAAGCTGCACGCAGAAGGTTAAAAAAGGAAGAGGAAGGGAAGAGCAGGTTCACCCAGATTCTGACCCATGGACTCCCATCAGACGGGTCACCCCTCCGATGGGACATCCTTGAGGAGTGTTACCTTACTGGGGCTTAGTCTATAGCCAAGGAAGCGGCAGTGGGAGAAAAGAAGCCTCCCCAAATCTCTCTGAGATAGCACATCAGGCAGTATGTTTAAAGACTGATATTGGGAAATTCAAGTTCAAAGAGATCAAATAATGTAGCCAGTCTCTCCCATTGAAGAGGTGGCAGAGCAACACTTGTATCCAGTCCTCTGACTTGCAGTCCCCTGGGTCTTGCCTCCAGGCCACGCTGCCCCACCCAGAGCAGGCAGAGTGGCAAAGAAACTAGCAAGGGCAAGTCCGGTGACCCGATCCGGAAAAGCTCCTGAGAGCTGGTTTTTGAGAAGATGGCGGAAGGGTGGGTCCAGTGTGGGAGTGAATGGACCAAGGAGAAAGACAGTTTGGGGATGTGGTCTTGTGAAGAGGCCACAGCACAGCAGAGTGGCCACCCCAGGAGGGCAGCAGAGGCTCTTCTGTCGGTGGTTGGGGAAGTGCCTCTCTAGCTTTCACCTGACAGCAAACAACACTACCGACCTTGAAGCTAGAAGTCTGGTCAGCTTTCCAGTTGAGACCCAGGGCTTGTCCCACAGTTCTCAGAGAAGGACGCATTATCCTAGGACCATCTACTTGGACATGAAGAATCATATTAATTACCCTCCCTTTCTTTTCTTGAAGCTTCCTATTTTTAACAGCAGAACCCTACTCTTACAAAGTTTTAGGTTTTGTCTGCCTCCCATGAAAACTGGTGTGCCCCTAGTCCTGCTGGAGGGTGAAATGAGTAGTTAAATAATTGACCATAGATATAAAAGGTCTTTGCCAGGGAAGGGAAGAAGAAAAGTCTCTGGAACCCTCATTCGTGGAATTAGAACAAACCTGTAGAATTGTGAGGGGGAACTGGTTCTCTAGGTACAGGAATATAAATCCTGCATGACAACCATGGATGTCTTCATGTGTCGTGGAAGATTGACGCCTGCTCTCTTGCCTTGGGCAGGAGCATGGCCTCACGGAGCCGAGACCGGATCACTGTTTGTAGAACCGGTGGACTTGTGCTTTAGTACAAGGCCACAGAGAGGGACTGGAGTTGTTCAGTGGCTGAGGAAAAAGGTAGCACTTTTGATGTTCTTGAATCGGAGACTCTGGGAGGTAGGGGGACTAGCCACAGGAAATAGGGAGATGGCAGGAATGGTATGGTCTCCTCGCCCCTGCCCCTTCCCATCAGGCTATTGAGTAGCTCTGAGTTCCCTACCAATGGAGGGGTTAGAATAGAAGCTGAAGGGACTGTGTTCATGAAAGACACTGTGAGAGTTTAAACATTGTAGAACAGGCATGGAATTGGGTCAAGAGCCAATCTCTCTGCCCCCTGCCCCCCCCCCCCCCGCAATGACCCCCGGGCTGCCTAGCATCCTGAGTGCTGAGACTGGATGGCACCCTCGCTACAAGACACCAGAAGAGCAGGGATTTTATGAGGGCAGCAGAGGCAGTGATGGGGAGCTCCTGGAACTCTCTGAAATAGCAGGGAAGACTTCACATGGGGACAGAAGGTGCAGACATGCAGGTGGCTCTGGCATTTTGGACAGTACAGCCTCCCTTGTACCCACAGCTCCCAATGCCTCCCTCGGTCTTGATTTGTGCTTCCTGATGTGACTGAATATTTCACTCACCACACCTTGGTTTCTCACTGATCCAGAGCGGCCTCCATTCAGTCCACAGACAATGTCCCAGAGAGGACAATCTTTCCCCCAAGAAAACCTGACACCTGCTGGTTTGGCTGATACCCCTTCTTCTGATAGCAGGTAATACCAATGCAGAAATAAATATCGCAATATTGTACTTGAAACTTTTCTGGAAACACACTTCCAGGGATATCCCAGGAGAAGTTAGTCATACCTGAGAGTCCATTCAACACCAGTCAGGAGTTTATTGGCGAACCAAGAAAACACAAGTGATCTCCTGCGCCCCTGAGCCAGGTTTTGCCCCTTTTCTTCACCTGCGACTGCTGTTCTCAGCTAGCAGCAAGCGATCACTGGCAAGTCAGAGGGTCCTGCAGTACACCTGAGAGATCACAATCGGTCCCCACAAGGTGGGGGTCGGTTGTCATGACAACTCTATTGTAGCATCACTTAATTCATAAACTAAATAAATCTTCAGTCACATCTGTTCAGCATGAGCCATTTTCTGTGGAGTCAGGACACAGGAGGAGGGCTTCAGTGACTTGTCTATTTTGTGGGGAAGAGAAAAAGGAAATCGAGTTGAGATCTGTTGCCTTCCTCTGCTGCGTGTTTCTGCCATAGAAGTTGCAAACTCTCTCGTGGTGGCTTTATGGGGACTAAACACCGTAGTTTGTTCTCAGGGCAGAAATCAGCTGTCATTACCTGAAAGCCCTTTGGTCAGTCAATAGGGAAGCTTGGCACATGGGGCTTCCATTCACCTCTCACCAAGCTTTGGTGATTTAATGCCACTGGACCCCTGCAGAGCCCAGGAACATCAAAGCCAGATGGGTCTTTGATTCCAGCTGCCATGTTCCAATTGCCTGAGTGTGAGGAAGCAGGCCACGGCTAACACAGGTCACACAACTCCTTGCTCAAACGGAGTAGGGTTGGATTCTCTTGCCTCAATTTCCACCACTCTGTGTGCCTTTCCTGTCAAGTATCTATGCTGACAATTTTCATCTGCGTGATGGTTCGTCTCCTTCCCACTCTGTTCTATGAAGCCAGATGCCATTTCTTTTTCTTGCCTTTGTATCCCCAACACCTAGCATGGTCCCCGTGCATTGAAAGAAGAGTGAATGTATGACTAAAAACTCCTGGGGAATATGAGAATGGGGTCCTCAATCTATAGCAGAAAATGGGCCCAGGGAAGTGAAAAGTTACCCAAGATCATGCCTTGAAGAAGTGACACTGGGTTTTTGCAAAAACCTACAGTATAATTGTGTCCTGAAGGGAGGGGTCTTGGGCACAACTACCTTCCCCATCTCCACCAGTTCCCAAAGCTCTTAGAGAACAAAAGGGAGCCAGGCCTTTGATTTCTTAGGGCTCCTGCTCTGCCATGGGGCCAAATTATCACAGGGAGAGTATGAGACCTCTCAGTCTTAGCTTTGAATTCCAGATTCCTCCAGTTCTACCCCGTGTTTCAGTAGCAGGTGCTTCCAGGTGTGTGTGTGTGTGTGTGTGTGTGTGTGTGTGTGTGTGTGTGTATACGCACGTGTGTGTGTGTGTGTGTGTGTGTATGCACATGTTTACTCTCATTCTCTGAAGCATTGTTTCCTGCACTTCCAGACCCAGAGGAGGGGGGAGCCTGCTTGTAACTATGTATACAGTCCCTCTGTGGTCCAACGTACTTCTGTGACTTCTGAGCATAAAAAAAGGGGAAAAAAGCCCTACTAGCCAAACAGTGACACTTGCATGTGGTGTTCTTCCTATCCTGTGTTTCCTTGAGAGGTTAGAAGAACCACCACATGGTGGTCTTGAGGATTTTGGTTTCTCTGATGCTGCCCCAAAGGAAAGGTGAACAAAAATAAAGAGAGAGAGAGAGAGAAAGGGAAGGTGGGCAGATCCACATAGTCCCTGCTGAACAAAATTCCTATCCTCTGGTTAGGAAAGGGGATCCCTAAAGATCAGGTAACTGTGGGGCCCAGGGCGCAGGATGAGCCATGGAGGGAACTTACCAGAGGTGTGGGGATCACAAAAGAAGCTTGACTGGTTTTCTGGCTTCTAGCGAGGATTTTACCTGTAATACCCAAGGGCAGAAGGAGGCACAAAGCTTAAGGGCCCTTCCTCTGGTGACTGAAGACCAAAGCTGAGGCCCGTGGGCCTGTCGTCTCCATTTCCGGACCTTCTCAAGGAGACTTTTCTATGTCTACTTACCCACGGGCCCCAGAGATCCTTTGACAGTCCCCCCAGGTGAACAAAAGTTTCAAGCAAAGAGTAAGTCTATCTCCCAAATGTTGTATGCTGGGGAGGCAGGTGACCTTCCACACACTGGGACCTACGGTGTGGTCATCTCAAGGTCTCCCTCCTCCCTAGTCTAAGTGGTCCCACTTACCATGGCCGCCATACCCTCTCTGTCACCTCTCATGGGGCCTTGGTCACCATGAAGCAGAATCTCCCCCAGCCCATGGCTGGCTGCATTGACATCCATGGGTCCAGGCAACAAGAAGAGGGTCACACTCACTCATTTGAAAGCTACTCCTTGGCCCCTTTCATTTTGCTTAATCCCCACCCCCCAGTGACTACTTACCCCTTCTACTCCTTTGGCTTCTCCTTCTTTTGGACAAATGACTGATTATAAAGATGGCCCCCAAGCCTGTGATCAGTATGCAGATGATGAGAATGGACATCCTGGAAGGAGTCACAGACCAACAGAATTCATGTTGCTCGAATTCGGTTCTCTGCCCAGGATCCCCTCTCCTGGGATCTGCTCCATCCTCCACCCCCACCCAGTTCCAGGAGCTCTGCCACCA